AAATTGCCTGAACTACTGCAGATGGGCTGAGCTTATTTTACTATTTGCACTAGCGTGAGCGCACACTCACTCAGCTGATTCTGATGCCTTCCATTCTGCCCTGTCAGACTTTGGGTCCTCTCTTTCCCCGCCCCCTTCCAAATCCCAGTTGTGGTCAAAGCAGATCCCTGTACTAAACATTCAGTACCTCATCCGCCACACGGAGACAAGCACGGTCCTCCAGAAAAGCAGGCTCGGGGCCGGCATCCCTTCCCTCTCCCTTCCATCAACCCTACGGGCCTCAGCCACCAGCACCCGGCTCGGGGAAAGTTTTTTTGGTCAGTCGTGGGGCTTGAACTCTGGGCCTGGGCGCCGTCCCTCAGCTCTTCAGCTCAAGGTTGGCGCTCTACCACTTGAGCCACAGCGCCACTTCTGGCTATTTTTTTCTGCTTATGTGGCACTGAGGAATTGAACCCAGGGCTTCATGCATGCAAGGCAAGCGCTCTACCCCTGAGCCACATTCCCGGCCCTACACTTAAATTCTTTAAGCCATACGTTGAAGGAACCTCCATGTAAAGCTATGTTATGTATTCATTGTAAGGATATCATAGGGTGAGGGCATTCTCTATTTGAGGGTACTGTGTATATGTGTGCATGTTTGTATACATATATACTTTTTATATATACTTTATATATACATTATATATTGTACATCTACACCTAGATTATTGTATTCACATATAATATACATGAAGTATATATGTATGCTGTGTATACATGTTTATACTATGTAATGCATGCATATTCATATATACATACGCGTCTATGTGTGTACGTATATATGTATATATATGTTCCCAGTAAATTCCAACCTCTGTTCATTCTCTGCCGCCTCCTTGTGGCCATTGATTTATCTGCATTGTTTGATTTTGGTTTGTCTCCGTTAGGACTTGGTCCCTTGGGGACTGTGATCATTACTTTATCTATTTCTTTTTTTATAAATGATTTTGAGTTAATTCCAATGCTGGTACCCTTCGCACATTAGTTAATTTAGGCTTCTGCGACATAAACACAAAATGAGAGAGCAGAATGGTGGGTGAAGAACCTAATGAAGGTATAAACCCGAATCTTCTCATCCAAGTCAAAGGTCTTCTTTACTTACCGAGTGTGTTCTGTTATTCCCGGCAGGGCACAGTACTGTCTGGTGCGTTCAATTCAATCAAGAACAGCATGAGAGGCTGACATCGGTGGCTCACACCTGCAATCCAGCTACTCAGAAAGCTGAGATCTGAGGATCTCAGTTCAAAGCCAGCCTAGGCAGGAAAGTGCATGAGACTCTTATTTCCAATGAACCACACAAAAAGCCAGAAGGGGATGTGTGGCTCAGTTGGTAGAGCACCGGCTTTGAGGAAGAGCACAAGACTTTGAGTTCAAGTCCAGCACTAGCACAAAAAGAAAGAAGAAAACAAACACCAGGAGGGTTGAGGGTATTCCCAGGTTTTGAATGAAGATGGGGTCATCTTCCACTGAGCTGGGAAAACACACGGGGAAGTCCCTTGTTCTTTTTTTGATGTGTTCAATTGGATATCTTATAATATATCTAAGTCAGTATGTCAAGAACCCAGGCAGATGTGTGGAGCAGGGATCCAGACTTGAACTGGACACCTTTGGTGTACGGCTGCTACATAAAACCATGAATCCAGAGAAGCAGGATTGAAACTCTGGTGCACAGCACTTTGGGTCAGTTAATGAGGGGTCAGTGAACCCAAGGAGAAAGGTCACAGGAAGTTAAGAGAGAGTGGGGAGGGAGGCCAAGGGCCAGTTCACGCCTGTCATCCCAGCTACTCAGGAGGCTGAGATCTGAGGACCACGGTTCAAAGCCAGCCCAGGAGACTCCTATCTCCAATGAACCAGCAAAAAGGTGGAAATGCAGTGGTGGCTCAAGTGGTAGAGGACCAGCCTTGAGCAAATCAAAAACCGTCCAGGGCTGGGGACCAGGCCACCGTGGGCTGTGTGTGTGTGTGTGTGTGTGTGTGTGTGTGTGTGTGTGTGTGTGTGGTAATCTCGCAGCTGATCTTGTTGACATTGGTAAGAAATAGAAAGATAAGTGAGCTTCATCCTCACACAAGTTACTTCACCTCAAAGATTAAGAAGCCAAAGTCATCTTAGCTCTCCAGAGAGGAGGGAGATCACTGATTTCATGGCACCTGGATAGGATCTGAATCTTGCTGTTCATCCGGTCAGGAGGATGAGCAGGGATACAAAGATATACCATGTGCTCCATCATGGAGCTTCTTGTTCCCATAATGCCTTGCGACGCTCAAAGGCTTCCTCTTCCCATGATGCTCTCAGTGCCTGCTCAACCAATGAGAAGATCCGGGGTGGGGAAGGGACAAGCTCTCAACCAATCAGCACCAAGCCCAGGGGTGGGGCTATGGCAGGAGCCTGCGCTGCATGAACCAACCTTCAAGGGGCCGCCATGACTCCTGTCTGGGCTCCTGGCCAGAGGGTGGGCTTCCCTGCTTTCTTTTGCAGCTCTCCTGTCACTGTTGAATGCGTTGACTGTGTTTCTGACCCCAGCTGGCAGCAGGGGACACAGGATGAGCCTTTGGAGCAGCCAGTGGTGAGTGGGAACAAAAATGGCACCATGATCTGGACTTGGCCTTTTCTCCTGCCTTTCCATTTTCCTTCTTCCCTTCCTTCCTTGCTGGCTTGCTTCCTTTTTCTCTTCCTGCCTCCCGTTTGCTCTCTGACTTGCACTCACTTCTGCATCTGCCTGCATCGTGTCTCCGAGTTGTGACCCTGGTCCCTTCCCTGCTACCTGCCATGGCCCCTCTGCTCATGATGGATGGACCCCCACCGTGGACCAAGGACCATCCTTCCCAGAAACACAGTCGCCTTTTGTTTCGTTTTGTTTCATTTTTTGGCTGTTGTTGGTACCAGAGCCTCCCTTTGGCTTGATTTGCTCACTAAGCTGGTTCGTGACCACTTGAGCCACACCTCCAGACTAGGTTTTTGCTGGCTCACTGTGAGGGAGTCTGGAGGACTTTTCAAAGCCCGGGTTGGCTTTGAACTGTGATCTTCCAGGTCTTAACCTCCGGAGAAGCTATAGACATACACCTTTTCCATGCTTGGTTGCTTTTTGGTAGTTTGTCTCATGAGACATGGCTGGTTCTTAGGAATTCCAATCTCGGCCTTGTTTGTATTCTCTCTCTCTCTGTCTCTCTGTGTCTGTCAGTCAGTCTGTCTGTCTGTCTGTCTCTGCATTTCTCTTTCCTTTCTTTCTTTTTCAACAATCACACTCTCCCTCTCCCTTTCTCTTTATCCCTTCCTCCTGTTTTCCTGTCTGTTTCTCTCTCTCCTACCCTCTTAGAATTCTAGGGAGGTAGCTCCTATGATGCAGGTAGCTAAGTAGATGATAGACAGAGGGAACTTTAAGAACGTTTGGGTCTCTAAGGAGTCCAAGTAGCTAACGGGACCTTCATTCCACATGGAGTCTGGTAGCTCAGCCATGTTGGGGCTGAGCAGTCACACCTGCAGCCTATGCTTCTGGAAGATTCGCTCGCTGAACCCCTGTGGCATTGCACAACCATATTCCTGTTGGATTCTCCAAGGTTAAGCAGCCTCCCTCCCTGGGCCTGGCCAACCAGCTGCGACTGGCCGTCCACCAATCAGGACGGAGGACGCCTCTTTGCACAGCGGGTATCAGTGTGACACAGATGGGAACTTCTTCTATTTCCCTCCCCAGCTAGCACACTTGGTGGTTGGTAGAAGAAGTTTTGACTTTTGTTCTTCAAGTCTTTCCCAGTGGATTTTTGATACTAGATGATGGAGACAGAGTTTAATAATAGCCACTGGATATTCCCCAAATTCCTGGGGAATGGTCATATTTTATGTTTATTTTGCATGCGTTTTCTTCCCTCAGAGAGTAGTCACGTGGTCCAGGCCTGGCATCAATTCAGATTAACATGGGTTTCCTTCGCAAGCATGATTTCTGGGCAGTGTCTCAGATATACAATCAGAATGATGAAAAAATTTGTAGAAACTTTAATCTCACAAACTCTGCAAGGATCTGAATTCTAGCTGGCCCCATAGGGAATTTTTTTTTTTTTTTTGCTACCTTCTTCTTCCAATGTTTTCCATAATCTCCAAAACGTCAGCCTAATAGAAGATGGCCTACCTGCACCATCAGCTTCTAGATATTTCTCAGATATTTCACCCTGTAGTTCTAATTTGCAGCCCCTAACCCTAGATAAAGAACCAAAAGTGGTAAAGACATTAATCAGCTTAAAACATATTTTTTTTGGGGGGGGGAGATAAAAGTAGCTTAATTGGAAATGGAACCTCAAGACAGTTTTTGGACACAGTTTTCTACATGTCTATTATATTAATTACCCTCCTTGTTTTTGGTTCCAATTCTAGGGCTTGGATTCTTACCTCCAATGAACCACTTAAAAAAAAACCAGAAGTGGCGCTGTGTGTCAGAGGTGGCAGAGCGCCAGCCTTGAGTGAAAGAGCTCAGAGACAGTGCCCAGGCCCTGAGTTCAAGCCTCAGGACTGACAAAATACAATACAATAAATAAATTAATAAGTAAAACTTTAGATTTCACTAGGAAAGACTGTCTTCACGCTGAACAGAATCTGGACTGTAGGCTGAGTTCCAGACATGACATTTTGTTTTTTTCTGTGCCGGTCCTGGGGTTTGAACTCAGGGTCTAGGTGCTGTTTGTGAGCTTTTTTTCACTCAAGGCCAGTGCTTTGCCACTTGAGCCACAGTTCCACTTCCAACTTTTTGATGGCTCATTGGAGATAAGTCTCACCTACTTTCCTGCTTAGACTGACCTTGAACCTCAGTCCTCAGATCTCAGCTTCTGGAGTAGCTGGGATTACAGGAGTGAGCCACCGGTGCCTGAAATGGCTTATTTACTTATGCTCAGCAAATGAAGAACAAGATGAAAATCAAAAGATACGAGTGTTCAGAGAGGCGGACATTTTGTTATAGTATTTTTATTCCATTTGTGTGATCCAGGAGATGCATGTTAACATCAAGGTCCTTCCAATTGCAGGGTTAATCTGAAGCAAAATCATTTTTTTTTTTTAACCAATGAAGGGTTTCATCTTGGACTTTCGCCTAGCACGCTCTCTTCCTTTACCTGAGCAGTCTTTTTCTCACACATTGCATATAGCTTTGCAATACAAGAAGTATAATAAATGTATGTTTGGTGCAAATATCCACAATACATTTTATTTATGTCAGCCAGGCTGCTTTCCAACCTAAAAGAGGAAGAGCAGGAAAATAGTTGAGAAGTCAAATACCTAAAATAGACACACACACAGAAATGCTTCTGCTGGTTGACAGTATGGCCCGACATCAGCATTGCCGAAGGAAAACATAGAGTTCGTGTGGAGATAACTCATTGTCAGGGGTATTTCCATTCAACCTATCAGCTTATGAGTACAGCGATCAGAGGGCCTAGCTCTGATTCCTGAGCTTTCTACACTGAGCCACAGCTCTACTTCCAGCTTTTCGCTGGCTCATTGGAGCTAAAAGTCTTACTGAATTTCCTGCCTTGTATCTCAGCTCTATTGCTCAAGGCTGGCGCTCTACCACTTGAGCCACAGCACCACTTCCGGTTTTCTGGTGGTTCATGGGAGATCAGAGTCTCATGGGCTTTCCTGCCTGAGCTGGCTTTGAACCGTGATCCTCAGATCTCAGTCTCCTGAGTAGCTAGGATGACAGGCGGGAGTCCATCTTCTAGTCAGAAAACTGAGATCTGAAGGTCAGGGTTCAAAGTCACCCAGGCAGAAAAGGCTATGAGACTCTAACGTCTAATTAAATCCAGCCCAAAAGTCAGAAGTCGAGCTGTGGCTCAAGTGGTAGAGCACCAGCCTTGACTCAAAAAGCCTATGACAGCACCCAAGGAAAAGCATACAAAGAAAAGAAACTCTCTATAATTAGCTACTATTAGTGATGACAAAATAAGGGTATTTGCGATTGTGTGTGTGTGTGTGTGTGTGTGTGTGTGTGTGGTGTGTGTGTGTGTTGGTACTGGATGTTAAACTTAGGGCCTGGACACTATCAGAGATTTTGTGCTAAAGGCTGGTGCTCTACCACTTGAGCCACAGCTCCTCTTCTAGCATTTCTTGGAAGTTAATTGGAGGTAAGTGTCTCATGAACTTTTATGTCAGAGCTCGCTTTGAATCCTGATTCTCATATCTCAGCTTCTTGAGAAGCTCAGAAGACACCTGGCTATGTGAATTTTTTTTACGTGATTAAATCCATTACAAAAGCCTGACCCAGCAGATATGTTTAAGGATATTTTGCCAATCTGCAATCGTCCTGAGGAAAACATAGTTAAAAAAATAGACTGAGAACAATAAAAGAAAAAAATAGAAACTCACCAGATATTAGACATAATATTGTCATCCACTTTCACAGGGTAGTATGTGCTATGTTGTCTAGGAGATGCTCCAAGCCAATAGTTGTATAACTCCAAGGGCTTTACAAAATCCTAAGAAACAAAGATGCTTTGTGTACAAAGTTATCTCTGGCTGGGTATAGTGGCTCCCACCTGTCACCCTAGCTACTCAGGAGGCTGAGATCTGAGGATCAAGATTCAAAGCCAGCCAGGACAGGGAAGTCCACGAGACTCTTATCTCCAGGGAACTACCAGAAAACCCCAAAAAACCCTGAAGAGGATTTGTGGCTCAAGTTGGGGAATGCCAACCTTGAATGAAAAAGCTCATGGACAGCGTCCAGGCCCTGAGTTCCATGGACGGTGTCCAGGCCCTGAGTTCTAGCCCTGGGACTGGCACAAAAATAATGATCTCTGCACATACTTCTGCAAATCACCATTCTGATTAGTGTTTGAAAAGAATTACTTTCAAAATTGCATTGTGTGTGTGTGTGTGTGTGTGTGTGTGTGTGTGTGCGCTCAAGTGTTACTCAAGACCCTGAGTTCGAGTCCCATGTCTGGCATACAAAAAAAAAAAAGAAGGAAAGAAGGGAGGGAGGGATGGAGGGAGGGAGAGAAAGACAGAAAGAGAGAGAGAGAGAGAGAGAGAAAGAAAAAACAAGAAAGAAAGAAGAAGGAAGGAAGGAAGAAAGGAAGGAAGGAAGGAAGGAAGGAAGGAAGGAAGGAAAAGAAAGGAAATCGAGTAAAGTCGACACAGGTCAGTGTAAGAGGCATCTCAGAAGCCATCCAAAATTTTGTAAGCCATAGAACTCATACTTTGTTCTTATTTCTCACTTAACTATATTTTGTGGCGTCAGTAACTATCAGTGAACCGTTTGAGAAAGATCCAACGAGAAAGACCAACACATTCCCCTTCTTCTAGAAAGAACGAAAGACCTTTCGGTCCCAGGGCTTGAACTCAGGACCTGGGCGCTGTCTCTGAGCTGCTTTTTCTCACTTCCGGTGTTCTGGTGGTTCATTGGAGATCAGAGTCTCATGGACTTTCTGTCCCAAGCTGGCTTTGAACCTCAATCTCCAGCTCGCAGCCTCCTGAGAAGCTGGGATG